AAACCGCAATGTCCTGCTTTTGGCATTTATTCCGATTTTCAACTTTTGTTCATGCAGAACCAAACTCATTTTTAGTTGCATGATTTGCGATGAAATGTCTTCGTCGTCTTCTTTTTATATGACCAATCACACAGGGGATGTCTTCTATACATGCAACACAACGATGGCCAGAAGATATATCAAGAAAAGAAAAGCAAGCAAAGAGTGGCCCTGGTCTAGTGGAAAAAGTGTTCGGATCGGTAAGCGACTGTGCGGTCACTACAAAATATTTTAACCCGCAAACACTGACTGACGGTTAAATACTGAATTTGCAGAGTCATTCATATCTGCCTAATATTTAAATAATGGCAAAAATGCATGTACACAAGTAAGTGGCAAACGGATGCATAACTGCACTTATAATATTCATGATAATCCTATCTGAGCTGTTGATTAACCTCTAGTAACGAGTAATTAAGTAAAGAATCAAAAGGACTTTATTAGGACTAACTAAAACTTTCTTTCTTTTTCTACTTGTACTGACCACTATCGTGCTTAAACTTGTAAAGGCCAATCCCTGTGTGATTAAATATCTATACTTGGGTATCTATATTTGTTTAAAGCAGACGAAACAACTCAGCTCAAATGTAATTTATTGCACTTTTATTATATAAGCCATAGTGCAGTGTTTTTTCTAAAGGATCCAATATTTTGAGTTGAATCGGATACATTTTTGGTTTTCTATTCATACCTATTGTGAATGATAGGCATTGCGCCATTGCACATATAACTGTAATTACGTTAATTATAACGTTTACTTATTTAGTTGCAAGGCACTCTTTAGAAAATAATGAATTTATCTTGAATTTCATTCAAATCATTCAAATCTATCAATAAAATTGTTGTTATTTAAATGAAATTCCATAAATATTTCATTATTATGGAAAGTGTTTCTTACTTAAATATTTTTGCGAAATTTTTGCACATCAAATATTTTTAATGTAAAATAAACAAAACTGAGAATTTGAAAATTTTTGATGAGCATGATATACTTTTCGGTATACATTTCTCGAACATTTATTAATAATTTACACATGATGTCAATCAAGAAAATTGAAATCATTTCAATCAACATGCAAGAAATATAAATTCATTTTATTTTATTTTCTTTTTTTTCTTTTTTTTTTTTTTTGATGAAACACAAACATAAACAAATGTATATTTAAACTATTTTGTAACTAATTAAAGAGAAAGGCAAGGAGGAAAAACTAAATTAAACTGACTTTAGAGTAAATATGAATTAAGTAAATTATTGGGAAAAATGCATCATTTCTATAATCGAAAGTTTTTAGAACAAGAAAAACCATCCCATACAGCTTTGCAAGATAACGTGCGAAATATTTTATAAAAGACGAAAAACCGTGAATTCAAGCGGACGCAACTTTTCCTATTATATGTAAAATTTCTAATTGAAAGTAAGAGTAACTCAGTGAGGTTTCCCCTTTTTTCCTTTACAGACTTAACATATATTTTCCTTTAGAGATCGTGGAGAGGCATTCGCATAACGCACACTTGCCAGATCAAAGAGATTCAAAGAGAGCAGGGCCGCCAGTTTTTAATCTTTTGAGAGATTCTTTAGAAATTACGAAGCATCGCAGAATTTATGTTGATCTTCAAATGCTGCCTCTGAAAATCAATAAAGTGAAAAATAATGTTCTTGATCAGAGCCACAATGTACCGACATTTACAAATGTCCGGCGGGCCCTTTGTGTGCTGTGTTCCTTAACGTTACAAAAATGAAGGCAAATGCTTGACATCTACTAACACATGACATATTCTAGATCTAAGGCAGATACACTGCAAGTTCATAAAGAACAACGGCTTGCTTACGAATGCACTAACAACGGAAAAACAAAAAATCGCAGCGACATTGAAAAGAAAAAGAATAAAATTTATTTAAAAATTCTTGACACTAACTTACAACTTGTTACACAAACATTTAAAAGCCCCCGTCTATCTATTATCAATACACCCAAAATTACCAAAGACGATACACGATTTTCAAAGTTTTATTTTATTTTTGGTCGCAGGCAAAAGAATATTTTGGAAGCGATCTTGGAGTTTTGTTACTGGTTTTCTGTTAATATTAGAAAATGAAATAAATTGATTTCATTTTAAACAAAAATCAATTTATCAAAATCAAGATTGATATCGTTTTCCCCAGTGAATGTTTTGTATTTTATTTTCACATTTTCTTGTTTTTTCAATAGTTTTTCTATCAAAACTTTTTAAATCTCATTTATTTCTTCCTCTTTTTTTCATTTACGTAGCTGAGAGTTAAAATGTCATAAGAATGATTGAATAAGAAATCTTTTCTTTTCTTTTTTTTCATTATTTTTTTTTTTTTTATTATTTTATCTTCTAAAGTTTATCAATCAATTTTGTCATAGAGAATGCAAAAATAAATAAATGAACGAATAAAAGAAAAACGACAAATGTATTTAACAAAAACAAAGACAATAGCTGTGATAGAAGAAGTGAAACGCATGTTGGAGTTACTTTAGATCAAATTTTTTCATTTTTATTCGCTTTTGTTAATTTACTTGTTGCACTTGATTTAAGATGAGAGCGTTCGAGCTGCGGATATGAAGGTGTTACAAGCAGTTCAAGTCTCTAAGACTTTCAGTTTCTGTTTTAAGGTAAGTGAATGCGCGCGTAACTTTTGCGCTCTAGTATGTCAACATTAAAATAATTGATTCAAGTTCATTTTAAGAAAAAATTCAGCTTTTTTATGAGTTATAATCTAAGACCTTCTGAAAATATTTCGCTGTCATAGCTATCTTTATAGCTAGCTGTACATTTTGCATATCAGTAAATAATCGCAAACATAGCAAAGGCTATCCAAAATTTACTCGGGTTTATTGTCATAATCAAGCGCCTAAATGTATCCATCAGCCATCACAGCCATCGTATGAGTGCGTACCACCTCTTCTTTGCACATTGATTTATTCGTATCCCTGCATCAATTTAAAATTTTTTAGTCTTATTTCCACGGCTATCGCTAGCGAGATTAAAGACTGCAACTTGTCACATACAGATGACTTTGAAAAACGCACAAAAATCTCTGCTAGAACCTACTCACGTACAATGGAATTATCATGCATTCACAAATAGTCTGAATCTTCTTTGTTCCATTGAGAAGTTAATATTTTAAAAATTCATATACTACAGCAAGTAAATGTTTGCAATTTTTTCATGTGACCGCAGGAGAAGAAGTTGGGTATGTAAGCCTCGTTGGCTTAGTTTAACAAGGCTTTATATCTGCAAGGAAAAAAAGAAGATACTAAATACTTCGACTGCATATGACGAATATATACGTCACAATCTGTCCGTCCATCCATCCGTCCTTGGCAGATTTTCTCATAGAATTTGCCATTTTTCTCATTACAATCTAATCCGTGTTTGACAAGCAAACGTCGAGGAAACCACAAAAGAAGACTACCCACTTAGCCGATTACTAAATACATAACTGCGGGTAGACAATGTTTGAACGGTTCAAAATTTATCCGTGGTGCGATTTGAAAAACTTAGATGTCTCTTGATTAAATTTCAATCAGAATTTCACATCAATTAAATGCATTAAGTGTGTGTGGATGTCTATGTGTTTGCTTACTTGAAACACTTTCCCAGAATACACATAAATGGTTTTGTTAACAAAATAAACATCAAACCAACCGTTGTGACCATTTAGGTGAACAACATTTTAACCATCGAAAGCTGCTGCACTTAAGCGAAATTCTCTTAACTGCTATTCAATCCTTAAAATTGTCGCATAGGTAAGAAATTACGTTAGTTTTATAAAATATTTCATTTCGCTGACAACATCTCTAAGGAGGACTTAACATTGGAAAATTTTAATCGGTTTAAAAGTCAAAGTCAATTTAGTTAACTGATTGTCGACGTCTATGCTTCCATTAATTTGATTACGAAAAAAGTGAAATTTTTGTACATTTAGTTATTATCTAGTCCCGGAAATTCATTTTCCAAATACCATAAATATATTCATTACAACTTTAAAAAAAAAATTATTTTCAAAAATATTTATAAAAGCACTTTTATCAATTGATTGCGTGTCCATGATATGCTTTAAATTAACTTGAATCTCAATAAAAATGAATTATATCGAAGTAAGAGTATTCGCAAAGAGCAATAAAATCTAGATTGAAACAAGCAAAATAAATAAGTCGTAAGCTAAACTTCAAGCAAGTCCATAAGCCTCTTGCCATTTGTATGCTTGACTATTTCTTAATAAAATATCAATTCGACGCTTGTCACAAGGTATAAAGTATAGACGAATATGTATGATTTCTATCTTCACTAAGGATATTTATGAGTAGATGAAGCTTTCCTTTTTTTCGTACAAAACTTGACCGGTAAAACGATATGCACGGAGAGTAAATTCTGTTGATCGTTGTAGCAACGGTAAGGATACCAATAGAAGGCAGCTTGGAAGAGATGTTTCCGAATGCCAATAATATGTAAGAAATTCGCACTAACTGCATATAAATAGTTGAATTACGAAATACTCGGAAGGTTAGATGCAGTCCGCCTGCAGACGTTTGCAAATAAAGTAAATATCTCATCCCAGTTGTGCTTTGATTTGTATTTTGGTCCAAAGGAAAAATAAGCAACGTATCCAACCGCGCTCTAATTAGAGTGAAAACATTGAATTCAAAATCCTATCAACAAACACAGACAATCGTTAAGGTGAACGTTCAAATCATAATAATTTCGATTCAAATATTTGATGAAATTGTTATGAATTTATTTCAACTTCATTAGCACAAGTAAAGTATTCAGGTTATACTTATTAAATTAAATTAAAGCATATGGATATCAAGATTTCACAGAAACTTGAAAAGTTATGCTAAGCTAAGTTCTCACTTTATCTTCCTCCAAGATTTAATGATTTAGAAAACTCTTTTAAATTAAGCACAAGCTTGCGACGCTTGGTGACTTACCGATGTTGAAAGCATACAGGATTTTAATGGAACGAGCTGTTTAGGTGAAAATAGTAACTGAAGTGTTTATGTTGTTTCCGTTCGTTTTCTATATATATATATATATATATATATATATATAAATCCAGGCAGAATAATCGTGAATAATTAAATCCAATTAAGTAGTAAACGTGAGGATGAACAGAATATTTGGGCGAACAATTAATAATAAATCCTCGAAACGCAGATAGAAATGAAATTATGTTTATATTATAAGGTTAATAATATTTAAATGATTTCTTTTTTCTTTTAATTATTAAATATATATATATATGTATATATATATATTTTTGTTGTTATTGTAATTTTTGTAATATTTTTTTTTTTTTTTTTTATATTATTTTTTAATATAATTATTTACTATATTTTACAAAAGTGTATTATGTACAAGACGTCAAAATAAATGCCATAAGAATTGTATTACATTTTTTGCTTATTTTTTTTTTTAAACACTTTTTTTTTTATATATATTAATACTAAATCCACACAAATGCTAAAGATTGATATGCTAATAGTATATATATGTAGTATATATATATATATATATATATGTATTTATTAGTTAATTACAAAACAAAAAAATTTTTTTTTTCTTATACGCGAATTTTTTTTCATATCTCAGTTATATTTCACATTATTTACTTGATTAACATTGACATTATCGATGCATTTTCTTTTCCACCGTAAGATAATTGCATTCTTTTCACAATTAAAAAAAAAAAAAGATATCGTTTATCCGCCGCGTTTTATTAGCGAAACGCAAACGGGAGAACCGTACCGTTTTTTTTCTATATCCGCTAATATTTTCATTATTATTCGTGTTTGTTTATTTTCTTGACGAATTTCCTGAAACACTTTGTTTTGCCTTTACACGTGCGCTGTCATCACAAAATATTTGATTAGACAACAAACTACCGTTAACGCAGAGCCATCGATTATTATATGTTGTTTATGCGGCAAACGTTACATTAAGACTAACTACACCGTCAATACAGAGTTCTTGTAAAACATAGCACTCGCTACGTTGTATTGTAAACATACACAAAATATATAATAGTTTGTGTGATGTGGTTGATAACAATGATAATGATGTTGACGATGATGATGATGATGATGATAGTGGTGGTGGTGGGCCACTGCACACCATCTCTCTAACACTCAGTGTATTCAGTTACATTTAGGCATAACATTTGCTTTGCGGTACATTGAAAAGCAAAACAACCCTGAAATGAATGTTTTGTGCACTTGTACAAACGGCCAGAAAGAGAGACAAAGTTAGAGAGCAATGGTTTCAGAGACAGAGAGAGAGAGAGAGAGAGAGAGAGAGAGAGCGAAAAATTGATTTGGAGAGTGTAACACTATTGTTCTTAGCAAGGTTCACCGTTATGATTTACTTTACTTGAACTCTCTCTCTTTCTTTTCCTCTCTGTCTCTCTCTATCTGTCTGTCTCAGTCTCTGTCTATCAGTGAAAATGCTTTTAACATAATTTGTGGAAAAGTCTTGTTTACGTTACTGAAATTTATTCAGCAATCACAGTTCTGCATAGCAATTATTAAGAGAAAAGGGAAAACCTAACGAATGTTAAGGCCGCCAAAAAATTAAACTTAAATACATATTAAATATGTTATATACAAGTATGTGTCTAGGTAAGTAAGAAATATCAATGCACCTGAAGAAGTCCTAAAAAAAAAAAAATATTCGAAATAATAATAATTTGCCAGCAAATAAGAAAAAGTTAGTTTGTTTAACAAACATAACAAACTACGCTGTTTGCCATATTCTTTATTCTACTTTAAGGTTAGACATAGTTTAATTTTACATTTTATTAAATTACAGTAACATTTGGTTACTTTGCAGTAACAATTCTCTCGATTGTTTTCTTTGTATTTCGCTCTCTGCAGATTGCAGTCGGCATCTAGTATAAGAGTCTTCGTTTCCATTGCATTCCTCTGAGCGAGTGCTGTTTACATGGAACGACGATTATAATTTGTTGAGTGGAATAAGTCCTGTTGCTTAAGGGCTTACTTATAGTGCCATTAACTATGCTACCACTTATGAAAATGAATATTGGAGAAATAAAAACCGTAATAAGTGCAGATAATATTATTTTGCGTATATCAATCAATATCTAAATTTTGTTTGTTCGAAGGATTGAAACATTTTAAACTTTCTAGTTAATAAACAAGGTGCATTTTCGAGTCTACACATTCGTAGTTGGCTCGAAAGGAGTCTAATAAGGAATTGTGGAATATATTTAGTAGTTTATCTTTTTCTTCCCCCTTTGTACCATTTTGAACGTAGACAACAAGGTGCCATTACGGCAGTATATTAAATTCATTTATTTAAGAGCCACAATAATTGTCCGATTGTCGGAAGGGTTACCGAACAAACGCTCTTAGAAGGAAAATCTAATTTTTAAAATGTCAGCTGAACATTCTTAGTTGGATGGAATTACGATATGAGTCAAATAAATATTCTTCGAATTTATAAAAACAATGTATTTGCACAAGAAAACATTGCTGGGGTCTAAGTTGAACACGAAAGGACTGATCGGCACGATTTATGCCTCGCAGACACGCATTTTAAATAGAAATTAAAGAGAGAATATAAACATTCATGTTTGCAAACATCCACACAGATTGTTTCAAGAAGAAGCAATCAAAGCCAAAATCGAACAATAGGCTTGGATGGCCAAGTTAACCAGCTTTCAGAATGGAGCAAATTGCACAAATTCGAAAGCAAGTCTTGTTTCTAGACTAAAGATTCAATTCGGAGAAGAGCCGATTACCGTCACAAGCCGTATCTATTATAAATCTAAGCATAATGCTCTTTACTTACTACCATTGGCTTGTGTATATTATTTATTTGTAAGATAAATGCCAAATCGATTCGTTCGACATACTTCGTATGTTCTAGAATAAACGTGAAATCGTACACATCTCGCATTTTGCCAAGAATTCATAATAATTGGAAGCATTGCAGATATAATTTTAGAATTTTTAAACTGTATTTGCATACTATGTGACTTTTTGTTAATTATGGCTAAATCTTTTTAATCCACTACGAACTCTAGATGTCGCACCGAGATTTAAGTAAAGAAGTTTTTCAAATCGAAACTAAAAGTTCTAGGAGAGAACGAGACAGAAAAAAGTTAGAAAAAGAAGGAAAGAGACCGAGAGAGAGAGACAGATATTATATATGTAATATTTTTTCTAAGTAGGAATCAATGCACCTATTTGGCTAACCTCTCTGATGTAGCGTAACTAAAACGATAACGACCAGATCGTGGCAGTAAGTGCGCTTCTAAAGCTTAAGTTTCAAAGCCATTATATGTAATTTCATCGTAGGCATAGTAGTGCGTTTTAGGTTCCTTAACATTAAACCTACCATTCACGGTCAAATGCCCGTCTTTAAAATTTTGTTTAAAATTTCTCGCATACTACGTTACTGTATCACCATGTAGCTTATTGACTTTTCCTAAAATATATCCAACAACCTATTTTTTAATATTTACAACTTTTTTTATTGTTTATTTTCCCAAAACAAATTATACCATGACTAGTCTAGCACGAACGGTCATTTGACCGCTCATGATAGGATTAGGTATACATGAAATGTCGGTAGGTTAACCAAGCTTAAACATGATAAGAGAAAGCTACCAACACCGATCTATGCAATTGGGTCGTAAAAGTGGCGCAATACGCACTATGGTGCATGATCAGGCAGGATAAAACTCGTCTAGAAAACTCTGCTAATGCTTTAAACTGGAACATAATGCCCTTCCAGGCTGTATTCACTTCATTTTACACCTTCTAATTAGCTTTCTAATTAATTGAAGATATTTTGTTTTTGCAAGCAGTTTTTCCACCTTTGCGGTATTACTGCATATGTAATGCATCCTTAAATAAAGGATAGGAAACTTCTACATAGAGCAGTATTCGTTCACCAATATATATCTCAGTATATTAATTAGATTAGATTAATTTTTTTTTCTTCTTTATACTGTTTTTTTGTAGCTTACATTCGGCTAATTAGTTGTTCTGTAGCGGAATTTAATTAAGTAAATAAATAAATAAATAAAAGGCTTAACTTAAATGCTGTATTATGTCGCAAAGGCCTAAGTGTGATGAAAGCAAAAAAAGACATTACAGTTTGCCACAACTGATCGTTAAATATCCTCCAGCACGTTGCTTAACGCAGTTACTGATATAACGACTTTTAAAACAAGACGTTACATGGCGAGTGGTTGAAAAAGCGTCCGATACGAACCATGTTCAACAGCGTTCGCCCACCGGTGTGCGAAATTACAACGACCTATCCCAAATTTTGGGAATCGTTGATTAAACACAAGAAAGGTCAGATGGACAGACAAAACACACAGACGGTCAGCCAAACAAGCAAAATTTAGAAAGTGATTCTGAATCCATTGGAATAGTAAGAGGTGGATCCCTTCCAATTCTTTCTAAGTGTTGCATACATCCACACAAACTTAATACACCCTTATGCCCTAAGCGATGCAGGGTAAAATGGATTATCTAGTAAAACAGGAACAGATAGTATCCTAGATGGACCTTATAAAGGATTAGCCCATGCTTTGCTACAAATAAAACAAACCTTTCCACTTAGAACTTGTATGCACCCAAATAATTCGGTTGGCAGAAATTCGTACACTACATTACTCAAAACAATGGTGTATGCTTTGCCCATCATTTTCATAAAAATTAAAATTTGTAGCTTTCTCTTAAGCATCTTAGAGGCAGTATCTAGGATACTAAGGGATTATATTGTTTAATGTGAACGAAGCCCTTAAAGTTATACGCAAGCAACCTCTATAATTAAACTTGTACAACTCGTACAGAGAGGATGAAAGCAGTAAATGATTTTCCTTAGAAGCGCAGGTGTTCACATTGCATTCATAAGCATTAAGCGATTAGTTTGGACAGTTCTATATACACAAAGTGCGGAATTGATAGAGAAAAAAAGGCTATAAGCCCGTATGCTATTTATGAGATTAATTCTAATCGCATGCAAGAGACAAGAATCTTTAAGGAAATTTAAAAAAAGCATATAATCAGAGTATATATTCTGATGTGTATATAATCGGAAGGTATGCTTTGTTAATTTCATATACACGCATCGATTCAGTGGCATGGCAATCTCCCATGTCATGATGGAAAATTGACCACTGGTATAACACAAGAACACAAGAAAGCGTTCGACTTATGGATTT